GGATCGGCCGGTCCGGTCCAATACTAGTAACATTGCTCACCACACAATTTTATCAAGGATTAAGAAATATGTTGTGCATGTTGTTAAAAATTACACTAGAACGAAAATAAAATAAAAAATTAATCTGAACTTATAATATGTTCAAATTTTACAAGGGAAGAAATAAAATAAGTAAAGTGACGCTGGTTGTTAGAAGAGGAACGGATCCTTGAAGCTTATAAGACTGGATAGTAGTGTGCAGAGAGAACATGTAAACTTTAAGAAAAACAGAGTCGCCGCAGCTTTCCTTAAGGTAGTATTGCCCGCCTTCCGCACTGGCTAACCTTGGCGATCCCCTCCCAGGATAAAACTGTTAACGTGCAAAGTCTAGAGCGGTAAATCAGTGCACTGACGAATGGGAACGAAGGGGAGCTATTTGCCGGAAAATAGATTGGAAAAATTGGGAGGGAGTTAGACGTAGGGAGCTTTCGTTTTCGAGTGTGTATGCTCTGCTGCGAGACCCTCCTTATATAAAAGCGAGGTTTGGCTCTTCGGGTGGACATTGGGCGACCATTATAAGGAGTCACTTGACTCTTCGGATGGACACTAGCGGACATTATGAGGAGACTCGAGTGCATGCATGCTTTGGTTCCATTTCGTTAATAACGAAGTGCCCCATTTGTGTTCGATTCGGTCTTGTAAAAAGATAAGAGTTGGCCGACACCCTCGCCACGTCACGATGCATCGCACGCGCTAACACACACATGCGTGTCATGACGTGTCGTCCTGGACGATAGCGCGGCGGTGCGCAAGGGATCCTTTCTTTCCTCCTCAAAATTTCATTACCATGCAATTCAATGCTTGCATAAAAATAGTGGAATATGAAAGGATTCGAATCCGATGTGGGTTTTACTCTTTCAAAGTGTTTGACTTTGTGAATTAATTTCTCATTCACCCGATTACTAAATTTGGCGCACGATATATCGAAATGCTTGTCTCACTTGGAAGATTAATTGTCCACACCAAATTTAGGTCCAAAGTTTTTCTGTTACAAACGAGAATTACAACAATCCTCCACATAATGAAAATTAATTCATGTACTTAGCAATAACTCCACAGTTGTAGGGTAGATTTTATGCCTTTGAAACACTACGCCAAAAACATCATCAGACCACTGTTGATTAACTAATGTTTATGTAAACACAGTAGTTGAAAAAAACAGACTACTGTAAGTTTTTCTTGGAAACAGAACGGTAGTCTAGATGCTATGCTTTAAAACTATTTTTAAAGTTTCGAGAAACGGTAATGTATCATTAGTTGTCTGTCTGAGTTCAAAATACAGTTTTTTTTACAACAGTTGTCAAGAAAAAGTTAAGAATACTCTTTTTAAACAACAGTCTGGGTTGTTATTCTAGAACTATTTTTAAATTTATTAGAAACAGTTATCTATTGTTTGTTGTCTGTTTCATATGGTTTTTTTGCCACTGTTGTTTATAATAGAAATAGAAGACTCTTTTGTAACAATAGTCTATGAATTATGGGTAGAACTGTTTTTGAAGTTGTGAGAAACGGTCATCTATTATTAGTAGTCGGTTTCGTAAAAAAATACACTTTTTATTGCCATAGTTGTCAATAATTAGTTAAGACTACTATTTCTTAACAGAAGTCTGGTTTCCTAGTGTATAACTGTTTTTAAACTTATAAGAAATAATAATGTATTACAAATAGTGTGTGTCACACTATTTTTTCACGGTTATCTATAATAAGTAAAGAAAACTGTTTTTAAGAGAATTGTGCATATTAAGCCTAGAACTATTTTAAAAGTTAAGAATACTCGTTTTAAATAGTAGTCTAGCTCTTAAGCCTAAAACTATTTTAAAAGTTTGGAGAAATGGTAATCTTTTTATAATGAAAATGTATACGCTCTCTAACTTTACATTCATACTTTCAGGCAAAATTTATACAACAATCAAATAACCGTTGTTCCAAATAATTATATGGACATGAAAAAATAAACACTTCCATTGAAACAAAAGAAAAAGTACATGGACAACACACAAAGAGAATTGGATGGGAACTTGGCCTCCTGGCTTTGGCATGGCAGCATCACCATAACCATCCACAATAGATTCATCACCTTTCAAAGCCTTCTTTTTCTTCTTTTCTTTATTACCCGCTGCTAGTGGCATGGCAGTAGGTCCAGTTTGACCACCCTCAACTGTACTCAAAGCTATAACACTGGTGTTGGCTGTCTGACTTGAAGTGGTGGCTTGAGCTACTGGATTTGGCATGGCAGTAGCACTACCAGGGGCCTTTGGGCCATCTCCATTTTTGAGTCCTCAACAAAACAGCAAAGAATGAATAGTAACGAAGAACATGAACAGTGTAACGAAACCTACAATTCCAGGGAATCTAGTATTGATTATATGAATCAGAAATCTAAAAATAAATAGTGAATGGATCCTAAAAACTAACCAATAACCATAGAAAGTGGAGAAAACACAAACAAGAAACTTGGTTAAAACTAGACTGCAATGCTACACTGTAAACTATGCACCGAGTCCTAGAATTTGTTCGTTTCAAAGGAATCTTTGACTGGAATGGAAACAAAACTTCATACCTTGAAAGAGCATTCCAATACTCTCAAAATACCCCACAAATTCGATATCAATTGATCTCAAATCAAGGTTGATCCAAACCTTCAGCTCCAAAAAAAAACAACCCAGGCAGTGACCAAGACAGTGAGAAACACTCCATTTTGCCCAATTGCAGCAGGTGTCTCGTCCCCCTGTCTTCATGTCCGTGTCCAGACTATGGCTTTCCAAAGCATCACAGCAAACAATTCCAACACACACTCAAAACCCACCCCAAACCAAAACAAGTCAAGC